TTCAGCAAACTGGGGACATTGTACCATGAGAGACCCTGCTCCCTCATACTCAGGATTGGTCCGGTTCAGGTCTTAACCAACAGAGAGAACACTATAACCATTGCCACCTACTTTTAAAATAGTTTATTTCCGATCTTAAAATATACATCAGTTTGAAAATTTCAGAAAAAAACCCCAACACATTAGTTACAGATTAACAGTCTGGAGTTGGGACACTGAAAGTGGGGTCAGCTCAAGCCCCAATACTGCTGGAGGTGAGCAGGAGTGCAGAGGGCACGCACCGTGCCTGTCGGGAGAGGGCTCTGCCCCTCCTGAGGCCACCGCTCCCCCTCAACCTCTGCCAGCAGCCCACTGCTGCGAAGCAGAAGCGTCCGGTGAGGTGCTGGGCACCCCTTTGCCACCCCTCCATTTCTCCACCGTTTTGCTTTGAAGTCTACCTTGCCCAAAAGCAGAGGGAGGCTGGCCTTGCCCAGCACCATCAGCACCAGCGGGTTTTGTCCCCTGACCAGCATGCCAGGATTCAGGGGAGATGGGGCTGAGCCCCGAGGAGCAGTGCCTCCCCCAATGCCCAAGGGGCTGTGCTGTCCCACAGACAGGCCACCAACAGCCTCAGAGCCCGAGGAGCTCGCTCACTGAGCATCCAAGCCCAGGTGATGTCCGTGAGGCAGGAGCTGCAGGTCCAAGCCCTCAGGAACACTGCAGAAGAAACGCAGGAGTGGAGCGGCTGATGAGAGCAAACACGAGGGGACTCCACCACCACGGACCCCACCACCACGGACCCCACCACCACGGACCCCACCACCACATTCAGGGCAGGGGAGACGAACGCCCTGCAGGCTCAGAGGAGGCTCCCACTCCCAGCACCAGCCCATCTGTACAAGTATCAAGCAAAATGCTGCAGTGAAATACCAAGTCCCACCTCTCTGCCAGAGGGTGGCATCCAGCTCCACAACTGTTTGAGGTGGGAAACGAGGCCAGCGCGTAGGCAGCGGGTCTAGCCAGGGTACACAAAGCAACCTACACGGCCGCCGGAGAGGCCTGCAGCTCCCTTTCACAGGCTCTGGAGCCTCCAGGGTTGAGCTGAAGCCCTGGCTGGCCCCAGCTGCAAGGTGCAGGCCCTTTGCAGAGACAGGGGCTTGGGGAGGGGAGCAGGGCCCCCAGGCAGCTCTTGGCTGCGTATCTTGCTGTAAGTATGTGAATGGAAGCTCCCTCCTGGAGAGAGGGCTGCTCTCCGCCAGCCCAGTGAAGAGCCCTCATTGAGTAGGGTGGGAGGACAACACAAACCCAACTCAAAAACCAGACGGCAGGCTGAGGACAGCCAGCGGGGTTTGAGGGGGGCATGGCGCAGGGAACGAGGCTGTTCTCTGCCTCACACCCTGTGAGGAGCCAAGAAACACCAGACAGACGAGGAGGGCACAGGACAAAATTAAAAACAGGACGCCTGGGCTTTGTAAGCCCTCAAAAAAAAAAAAAAAACAAAAAACACCCTACATCTACAGACCTCTCCCCTTCCCTCCCCCCAACCCCAACAAGACACTGAGCACACAAGACCGAGAAGAAAAGTCACACAATATCATGCTACACTAGGAAAAACACGCAGAGAGGCCCTACCCAGAAAGGAGGCCCCAGAGAGGCACCAGAGCCAGCCTGGAGCCCCCCTCCTCCCCAGAGAAGGGGGCGTACGAGGAGACCCTGGCAAAGGGCTGCTGCCAAGCTATGAGGTAGTGCGTCTACAGGGAGCAGCTCCTCAGGACGCTGCCCTCGCATCCCTGCTGGCCCAGCACCCAGCCCTGCCCAGAAAAGCCCAGTAGCCTCCTTCGCACCTTGCTTGCCCGGGGCGAGACCTTGTTCTTGAGTCCGGAGGGGTTTCTGCAAGGCTGGAGGCCAAGATCAGAGGGAAGCGCAGCTCTGAGAGCTGAGCCTCCTCAACACACCCTCAACGCAGGCATTGGAGTGCCTGCCAACGGCTGTGTCTGTTTATGCAGGGTGGGGAGAAAAAAAAAAACAACAATACACCCCAAAACCAAAGGCTTGGAAAGAAGAAAGAAGCCCACCCAAGAGCAAAGCATCAGCACCGTTCAAACAAAACAACAGCACAGAGAGCGGAGGAAGAGGTGCGAGGGAGGAGACACACAAACGCAAACCCCAGCGCCTAGCAGGCAGTGCCTCCCCAAACCACCTCGACAGTCAGCACCCGTGCCCCACGCCGCAGCACCAGCACCCATGCGTTGCCTCAGTGGGGGCCAGGTGCTGAGCCCAACGCAGGAGCCAAGCGGTGGGGACCTGCAGAGGCAGATTCTGGAGAACCACCCAGAGGGCAGCTGGGGAAAACAAAACCCAGCAGGAAAACGAGACACCAGTAATCCCAGAATATCCCCAGGGGCACAGAGCCATCCGCTGGGAGAGTCCTTGTGCCCCACTCACAGCCCCTGGGGGCTCCCAGGGAATCAAGACTCTACCACACAGGCACTCTGCCCTGTTGGCACAAGTTAAAAGAGAGCAGAGCAGCTGCGGGCAACCAGTATGAGAGCACCCAGGGCCTCAGGTACCCAAGGGGGAAGCAATAGGCGAGCATAAAGAGGCACAGGCACCAGGATGAGGGGTACCAAGAACGAGCTCCGGTACAGGCACCAGTGTGAGGCTGTGAAGAGAGCTGCGAGTGTGCCGGGGCAGTGGGTGTGCTTCTGCACGCTGTGTGTGCTAGTACTGTGGGTCTGAGGACTCCAGCTCTTCCAGGTAGCAAAAGAAGAGAATAAATATAAAATTTCAGAGCAGAGCCTCCCTGGGGAGGAGGGTACTACGGGAGGTTTCTCCCTCAGAAGGTGGACAGATGGAGGCATCCCACAGCTCTGCAGCGTGTGGCTGCTTCGTGCCCTGCCTCAGCTGAGAAGGTTGCCCTGCTCCTGGGCTTGCGTCAGACTGTCCTTGCGATGTAAGTGGTGGACCCCCATCCTCTTGGGGCTGCGATGTGGCCGACTGAAGGGAAGCTTGACCCTGCCTTCTCCACTTTCCTCTTGGGCACCTCCTTGGTTGCTCTCCTTGCTTCCCTGGAGCAACATTACTCTCTCCTCAGCTGGGCTCTCAGGCAAACCGAGGTCCACATAGTCCTTGTGCTTCTCTGGCGAGGGGCTTCCAGGCTCAGCAGTGCCTCCACCGCTTTCCTGCAACAGTTTCTGGGCTTCATCCTGGGAGAAATCTGTACCATAGTCTGAGGAGAAATGGCTCCTGCGGGCTCTGGACTCGGTGCTGTCCGTGTCCACGCTGGAGTCCCGGCTCACGGTCCAGCTGCAGCTCTGCGCAGACTCCTCACCATCCGAGTAAGCTGAGGCTGCCCTACCCAGCTCCTGCATGGAGCGGCTGAATCTCTTCTTGAGCTCGGGGGCTGTGTCACGGCCGAAAGCCGTGCGGTTCATCAGCACTCGTTCTGAGGTGGGAGGTGCCTTGTCCACAAACATACGCTGCCAGTTGGCCAGCAGGTCCTCCTCGGAGGAGGCAGAGCTGGCGAAGGCGCTCGGGATTTGGGGAGGGCTGCTGAACGGGCTGCTCTGGGAAGAGCCATGAGCCCTGGCTGCTTTGGGGGACTGCTGACAGGAACAGCTGGAGGCCGAACGGCGTCCTTCTGAAGCAGGGCTGTTGGGGAGTGTTCGGTGCCTGTCGCAGCTCTCGTCTTCGCTCTGTACCAGGCTGAGGGAGATGGCCTGGCGCGTAGCATATGTACAGTTGGGCAGGGGGCTGTTCTTTGGGATCCTTACCTTGTCCTCCGAGAACTCAATCACTTTGCGCCCAGGGTACATAGGATGGGGTGGTGAGGGTGTAGGGTACGGGCTTAGCTTCTCAAAGGCAGGCACCTCCTCTGGCATGCTTTCCACACTGCTCTGCGGCTTGCAGCCACCGTTCTGCTGTTTCCCCGCATCTCCTCCCTCCTTCCCCATCTGCCCTGCACTGTTGCAGGCATCAGGAGGGGCTCCACTCATGTCCACGTGCACAAAGACATCCTCAGCCACGGGACAGCTGCCACTGCTAGACTTGGCTGAATTCAGAACCAGAGATTCTGGTTTCTCCAAGACTCTGGCAATGACTGAGGTGGGCACAACATCAGATGGAGCCAAGGTGTGGGCTGCCTCTTGACCAGGGCCTGCGGACTCCTGAGTGCTGTGCAAATGCTTATTGACCATGTCCTGCAGTTCACAGGGAAGCTAGGGAGAAGGAGAAGGACATTAGAAGGGGGCTGCCATGCAAGCCATTTAGTTCCAAATAATCCACTTTTTCCAACCAATCTCTCTGTGTACTTTGTACTCCTTATCTTGACCCCAACATTCACCTTTCTCAAGGCTAGGCAGGTATCTCTTCCCAAAGCAAACCTGCCCTATGAGGGACTAACAAGGCTCTCTAGCTGTCACACCAGTCATGTTTCTAGACCATGGTTCACAGGCCCCATTTTGCGAAGAGAACAACAAAAGACGGCACATGGGCTCAGTCGCCCACAACTGTGAGCACAGAGACAAGGCCCAGCCAGCGCATGCTAGGAAGGGGTCTATCGATCTGTGGAAAATCAGCCGGTGGTTGCACTGAAGTGACTCAACAGCCCCCAGTGCTAGGATCTGCAGCCCTCCCTGAATGCAGTAATTGCAGCCACGCTGCCTTGGCAGCCTGCCCGCAGACCAGAATCGATGCCTTCCCTTGTTCCCACCAACTCTACCAGCTCATCCCACTTCCTCCCTCTTTCCATTTCAGAGAAGCATACATGGGGTTTCTTACCAAAGCTGCAGGACTGGGATCTCAACAGGGGGTAAGCACTGCTCCTTGTCCTGCAAACGGGCACTACCGCTCTCCCCATTACCCTGCCAAGCTGCCCTCGCCTGGGTCACCACACCCACGCACAGCACGAAGCGGAGCGCAGAGCTCCACAAGCTACTCAGTGACACAGCAAGGTCTGTCCCATCGCAGCCAGAAGGAAACCGCGTCCGAAGCTGGGGACGCAGGGCACGCTGCAGAAAAACAGCTGGCTGTGAGACAGACTGTCTGCACAGCTGCCCAGCACCAGCCCCCCCCTCCAGTGGCACCCACGTGGGACACGGCGCTCTGGGAAGCAGAATTCAAAGCTCCAGGGAGGGGAGACAGCTGGGAGAGAGGTCAAGGTTACCCCAGCAGTAACTGATACACTGACCTCAAGAGTGCTAATTTGAGACACAATGGGGGAGGGTGACATATTGGTCACCTGCTAAGTTAAAAAAGACAAGCACGTGGTTTTGCTGAGAGGAACCTAAGAAGGGATGGAGAGCTGGGGTAAAGGCCTGAATGATACTTCCAACCGGAGAAATGAGGCTACTAATATGAAATGCCTAAACTCCATCTTTGCTCGTCCTGAGGGCGGGATGAGCCGAACGTACCCCACATGGCGGAAGTATAAGTTGGTACCAACTTCTCCCATTCAGGAGGCCTAAAAGACACCCTGAATGCTGCCTCTCACATTTCTCCTCAGAGTAAGAAGTGAAGCCAGGCCGGACTACTGCTGCATCACTCCCTATCAGGCAGTGTGGCCCTTCCATGTGGCCAGGTGAGGAAGGCAAGAGGACAGAGCAGGGTAAGAGAGAGGTCTGTCCTCCTGCCAGCTCCCATCAGGCACCCAGCAGGCTATCAAATTCAAGGTTATTGTGCTTTTTATAACAGTTCCTGGCTGAGCTGTGAAATGGAGCTGGCGTGAAAGAGGAGCTGGCAGAGGCTCTGTGCTGCCTTCTCAGTGGGAGTGGGAACAGGAGCCCCTCCACACCTCTGTCTGTGGCTGAAGGATGAGAGGCCAACAGCCCTGCAGAGAAAGCAAGATGCAGGCAGGGGCCACGAGCCCTTCTTCCCCACCTCAGCAGGGCTACTACTCACATCAGCAAACTTGTGGTTCCTGAAGTGGGACTTGTTACACTTGAGCAGCTGTACTGCAAGGTTACAGTCCTGTCGATAGCGTTCCTGCAAGAAAGGGCACAGGTGTGCAACAGTGTCAGACTATCCCCATCTCTTACCCAAAAAGGCCCCAGCTGACCAGATGCTGCTTGAACAGAAGCAGGAGGCAGCATCTGATGAATCGCTCATGAGGGCACCTGCCATTCCCTCCTCTCCACACCCTTACAACTCAGCCAAGGTGTCCCCTTCAACCTCAGTCCTTGCTGCAGGCATATACTCTGTCAGTGTATCAACCCCCTCTCCCTCTGGGGATTTTAATAATCTCCAAAAGTCCCACTAGATTTGCTCTCCCATCCCAGAGCTCTTGGCTATGCCTGAAGACACTGCCTGATGTCAGGCATCCTGCAGACAGACAGACTGGAGGGAATTGAGAGCCGTTAACAGAAACAAGCACCAGATCCAGGAACTTCTATACTACATCAGCTCCCTCCCAGCTCTGTTCCGTTGGTACAGCCTGGACTCAGGTCAAACCCTGAGTTCGAAAGTGCAAATACCTCAACCTTGAAGACCAGTTCTTCCTCGCTCAACCCTGCAGACCCTTTTCTGTTTGTCTGTCCCTACTGTTACATACAGTTCCCACTCTTTCATACACACTGAAGTCATTCACGTGCTCCTTTACACTAACGACTTTGAACAAGAGGAAAAACCTACACCTCACACACTTCCACAGCCATTTGCAAATCGACACTTACATTGAGTTCCTCCAGCTTATTGATGGTGGTTTTGGCATCAAGCAATTTATTAGTGAGCTCCACAATCTCCCAGTCCAGCGTCTTGCGGTCCATCTCTGCCTTTTTGATCTGGGATGCAAGAACATCAGGTGTAAATCTCCCCAGCACAGAAGAACATGGCTTCACCACCCACCTCAGCCCCAGCATAGCACAATGACATGTTCAGCTGGGGTACAAAAACTTCCAGACAGACAGACAAGGGGGACAGCCTGGCTCTTCACCAAGGGAGGGACTCCAAAGATAGAGTTTGAACCTCTGTAATGCCCTATCTCTTTCTGAAGCACAACCACGTTTCCTCTCTGCCCTGGTTTACATGGTGCCTAGTGGAAAGCTAGTGGTTTTGAGCAATCAGTCCCATCCTCTCACTGGCTGGCAGCAAAGACCTCTGAGCTTGTGATACCCAGTCCTCTTCTCTGGGGCAACAGAACGAGAATACCGCCCATAAAGATCCAGCAGTCAATGCTGAATGGACAAAAGGGTTTTTTTGGCAGGGAGAGGGCACCATCTTGAAAGAGTTTAAGCCCTGCTCTGGTAAGAAAAAGGACCTGTGTAGCTTCATCTGGAGCTCAGTTAACGCCCTCCCTAAAGCAGGCAATCTTCCCTAACAGTTCAGGAACAGGGCCAACACAGACCCAGATGTAACAGCAGAGAAGGGCAACAGCTCAGAACCACCAAGCCATCCCCTTCTCACGAAGTTCTTCCAACACTGCCCAAGGGTGCTCTGAGGCTGTGACCACCCACCGTGCATCAAGGGTACAGCACAGCGACACACAAGGAGATAGGGCAGGACAATGCTTCCCACATACGAAGTCTCCTCAGGCATCAACACAATGAATATTAACCCAAGAAATGCAAGTGCTAGAACCAAAGAAATCTCATCCTGGGCTACATGGAGGCAATCAGCGTCTCAGCTGTTCAACTTGCCTGCTCACAGCCCAGAAGGGGAAGGAAAGGGAGCAAACGAGGCTCACAGCCATCCACATCTTGTGTAGTGCCACAGCTTATGGGCACCACTTCCCAACACGCCATGCTCCAGCTGGCTCAGAGTCAAACGCTCTTAAGATGGAGCACTGCAAGCTAGGACCTGCTGCATCTGCGGGCAGCTGCTGGATACCAGGTGAGCCCTTGGCTGGACGAGGTCTGGGGCCCCTCCATCTGGGATGGTGTATGTGGGACTGACAATGAAACCAACAGGCTGAGACACGTAAAGAGGAAAAAGAAAAAACACACAAACGAAAAGACGCAACTGCAAAAATCCAGCTTTGGCTGAGAGAGGCCTGAGAGGTGAGTGCACCCAGCGTGTGCCAGCGGCAGCGTGGGGAGGAGAAAGAGAGAGAGGGAGGGAGGGAGAGAAAAGAAACAGCCATGAGTGTTATGAATGCACACAACAGACATACAGGCACATTGGCTCTGCTCTGACTGTCCCCGTCCTCCCAGGATGACCACCCCAAGACTGGCTGACATGTCCCTGGCATTTGGAGAGGGACTGAAGCAACATGACGGAATACCATGCAATTATGTTGAAGTGAACCAAAGCTCACGTGCATGACCAAGTAGGGGCTCAGGAAATCAAGAAAACAGTTCATGACACCAGCCGGAATGGGGAGTAGATGGTCATGGCCAGGATCTCACCCCTCACCCACTGCCACATCTGCTGGGTAAAGCCAGGGCCCCTTCCCCAATCTGCTCCTAACACACAGGTCTTTTCCACCTCCTCTCTGTAGTGACTTAACAGGGCACCTACCAGGGCATGCAGCTTCTCCTCCAGGTCTTGGTTGGTTCTCTGTGAAGCAGTGTAGCTGTTTTGCAACCTACAGAAACAAGATTCTATACATGGGAACTGATCTCAGGCATCTAGTCAAGTCCCCTTCATAGCTGCCAAGCAAACCACCAACTCCACAGCTCCAGAAAGACTGGTACTAAGACAACCAGGCATATTCACTATGCCTCACCTCTGCCACATAATGGCCTTCAGACCCCAAGTTACTGGAGGCAAGGTGAGGTTGGCTTGGTGAAAGGATCTTGCACGGGAGGGTGGGAACCACTTTGGAGGACGACTCTGAGCCACGTCACGTATAAACATGTGACCAGTGACTGGCATGGATTTTTAACTGATGCACTTTCCAGGTAAAGCAGTGATGTATTTTCTTGCAGCCACCAGTGGCTCCTTCTGCACATGTGGGGTAACCATCCAAGCTGGATCCTGCCTTACATCCAATAAATGAAGAATTCCCTGTTGTGGTCAGCTCCTCGTGCTGGCAGCATTCCTTCACTATACCCTGAAGGAAGTAACGGCTGCAGAGCCTTTAACTCCCCTACAGTCTGGGGGTGCACCTTTCTGAGGACGCAGCATGCCTTGGATTTACACAACAGGGCACAGCCTGCTCATGCCAGCTGAGGGATTCCTTGGTGGGAGGGATATCTCTAACTCTACCCCTCTCTTGTTTTCTTTTTCATACCTACGGAATTTGTCCTTGAATTTCTCCAGCTCCTCACGGTTCTGGCCCAGCTCCATCTCGAGGTAGTCCTGACCTGACTCCAGCTCCCTCTCCATCGCCTCCATTTTGTTAGTCACATACGTCAGCCGTCGGCGCAGCTCCTCGTTCTCATGCTGCAGTAACCTGGAGCACACAGGAACAAGGTACCACTGAGCGCACAAGGGGTACTCCACACCAGCACCCTCACCCCATTGCCCTGCTCTAGGGCCCAAGACCCCACGTAGGGACCCCAGGAAGTCAGGAACTGAACTGGCAGGAGACTCCAGCACACGCAGCGAGAGGTGCATCTCTGTCAGGAGAAGGAGACTCAAACTCTCTTGGAGCAGGGGCAAAAAAGCATAAACCAGCTGGCCTGCCATGGCTCCCAGCTCCCTCTCGGGTTACAGTCCTTGGACAAAGCCCACTAGCCAGATGAGCTGTGCGGCTCCAGTGTCCCTCACTGGTGAATGAAAGCCACTCAATAATTTATCCCAGTCCAGGTTAGAAGAGTTGAAGGCAAAAAGAGTAAAATCGTCCTCTCCTCCGCTGATACTGATCAAAACCTCTCAGACCTTTAATACATGGTGGAAAGAGGACTCCATACAGCCTTAAGCCCAGAAGCAGAAGTGGTAGGGTGCATTTACAGATGTGATCACAGCTGCCAGCCAACCCCATTCCAACACAAACTGCTCCATTCCTCCCCAGCCAGGACATGCCTGGTGGTCAGAAGGATTTCCTGTTGTTTTTCATTCTTTTGTGCTCAGTTGCTCAGAGAAAACCAGAAGCATGGCTTCTCTCTGCCAGTGCAAGCTTTCTCTTCACTATGGCTTGGACCTCAGCGGTAGCAGCTGTCTGTGCCCCACACCACCACCAGCAAAGGTCTCAGCTCTCACCCTCAGTCAGCAGCAGGCCTCTGCATACCGCTTCTGGTGGCTTACGCCAAAACAGTGGCAACAACAAGAAGGGTTAAAAAAGGCACTGCTCTCTCCACCTGCATTAAAGGCTTCATCTCCTACTTTCCTCCATACCTACCACCTCCTCTGCCTGCACCTGCACTGAGGGTCTATCTTCCCTCCCCCTCCAGGCAGAGCGACATGCAAGGCAGAGGTTGGCAAGGCACAGACTAAAGCTCTGCCCACATGGTCCCAAGAAGACTGAAGATCTGAGAGGAGCCCGCAGCACCAGTCAGTTTCGCTGTGCAGGTGCCACAGGCAGGATGTGAGGAATCAGCACCCACCCCACACAGTTGCAGTATGACAGGCATAAAGGGGGAGCAGGACACTTACTTCATCCTTTCTGCATCCGTCAAGGGTTCCTGCACAGGGAAGAAAACAGCTGTGAGATTCTTTCGGAGGAGGAGTTGGTCTCTCACACTGTCCTAAAGGGCAGAGTCTTGGTTGCTAGACCCTACCTGTGACTCTTCCTCACCTGCTCTGATAGGTGATGCTAGGCAAGCTTAGAGCTGCTAGGATCTGTACACACTGCTCAGCTGTCTGATGCCGAGACAGACTGTGTGTTCTGGTTCAGGGTAGAAGAGCTAGACCAGAAACCACGACACAAGTTAGGTAACTTTACTCTCCCACAGTGCAATCTCAGCATCTCTTGTAACGTCGTCACCTTAGCTGGTGTTTCAGCTTCCTTCGAATCCACAGTTAGTGGGCAGCACGAATCTCACAGGCCAGCATACACTAGAATTAAATTGTTATCACAGCAATCATAACACCCTTAAAGCCCCACAAAAAGAATGAGAGAGAATCATTTGGGAGCTGAAAAATATGTCTACCATTTACACCACCTAGATTGCGCTAAGAAAAGGGTTTCTTTCTGCAGACCTGAAACCAGCCGCTGTAACTATTCTGGGATAGCAGAAGAAACACCAAAGGTCAGAAAAGCCTGTGAAATAAATTAACATTCTGGGCAAGATCCCCAGAGATGGCTGGAGCAGGGACCTGCAGAACAAGAAGACACAGCGCAGCAACAAGAGCACACGGCTCAGCTACTTTTACTTCCTTTGCACTCTCTGTGTTAACCCGTGAGATGGCTGCTGCCTGCCGGCATGGCTGGAAGAGATTTAATTAGCACTAGAAGTAACTGTATTTTCTGTGAAAGCCCAAGACTGTGACCGTTCTCAAAGTCCAAGCTGCCCATGGATTATTTTTGGTGCTTGGTACTAACAGCACTGCACAAACCCGAAGTGCTGCCACACTTTAGATTGTCCATTAAGTGCCACAGCCAGCTCTGGGCTGAGTGGCCATGCCATAGACAGCTGTGGATGAGGTTGCTGAGCTGCTAGCAGTATTACAGAAGGCAAACTACCCCAATCCTGGCCCTAAGACATCATGGGGCTGCTTTCTTCATCAATTCACACTTTAAAAGAATGGTCCTTACCACCTGCATACATCCTCCTGTCCCTAAAGGCGAAGCATCAATCCATTCTTTTCTTACATCCCGACCCCACATGGCAATTAATTAATTTGTACAAAATTATCTAGCAACTCCTCCCCTACCCCCACAAAAACACACACAGCAGGTGCTAGTGACCAGGCAAAGGGGGTAATGTGATTCCTATTAAAACAAGGCGATGGCCCCAAAGCAGGCCAGAGAAAAGAGAAGGCTGACAAATACCTGAAACAGCCATCATACACAGATCCAGTACCCCAAGACAGCCAGGCACAGGGCACACACAAAGCATCAGGAGGATCCCAACACCTCCTGCCAACAGAGCTGCCTGCCTCCTGCACGTGCCCTTCTGCCCCACAGCCTGGAGGGCCTCCAACCTGGAAATACCGGGGAAGTCTGCAGTGGGGAGAACAGCACCAGCTCCTGCCTTCCTAACTCCTGGGGCCAAAGGGAAGCTGGTTCCTCCCAGGAAGACATACGCAACCTGGAGCACAGCCATAAGTGGTACCCACAAGAAAGCAGCTTCTGGTGATTAAGCACCCACAACATGAGGTCTGGGGGTCTGCTCTCGCTCTCCCCACTGGCATTACAGACTAGATGAGATTCAGGTGGGGGCTCTGGCCTTTGTGAGACCGCTGTCCGTGAGCCTGTGGCCCTGGCACCTACCTTGTTTAGTGCCAGGCTGAAGGAAGGGGAGGATCTAGATGGGGTAGGCCCTTCGTCCTGACTCCAGCGTGTTGGAGCGGAGAAGGATCCTTTCTCTGGGTAGTTCGGCTCCACCGCACGCTTCTGCCCAAGTTTAGCACACAGATGGTGTGGCTGTAATAGCTGTGAACAGGGACTGCTTTCATCCCTTCTGCCCTCTGCACTGCTTTTCCATGAAGACAGTAAGGGCTGCTGCCCAGAGGATGTCCCTGCCAGCCCCAGGTCTGCCCGCTGCTGCAGCTCATACTGACACAGATCTACTACCCTTCTCTCCAAGGAAAGGAGTTTTCCCTTACTGTCCTTCCTCCCAAGGACGGGTGTCTTTCTTAGTCTAGAAGCTCTCTCAGCCTCCTCAGCACACTTTCTCTGGCACGAAGCCATTCCCAGCCCCTCACATTTCTTTTCTGCTTTTCTTCTGCTTGGGCAGGGGGATCTTTCAGTTGCATGCTTGGTTTTGATCCCTTGCAGGTGACCTTCCCCTTGGCCTTCTGGCACAGAGCTTCTGGGAAAAAGGGGAGAGTTCTGGTCTTGTTCTGCTCCCCTGTTCTCTCCCAGTGAGCGCAACCGGATGGGACTCAGCACCCTCTGGGTAATCTCATCCAGGAATTTGGAGAACTGCAGTTTTTCCTCTGTGATCTTCTCCCTGCGCTTGATAGAGTCAGTGGCACTGCTGCTGCCGTGCTCCAGTGAGCGCTTCTCCCTATGGCTGAGGCAGGGCTGAGGATCACTGTACTTGCATGAGCCACGGCTACGGGAAAGCGTCTCTACTGAGCGGGACTTGCGTAAGCTCTCAGGGCATGGGCCTGTCATGTTGGTCTGCTTCAGGATCCCTTTGAGAGGCAGGTGTGTAGAGGAGCCCCGAAACTTCCTTGGTGTCAGGACTTCAGGAGGCTCTTTAAATATAAGCGAGCGTTCCAGGCTTCTGCTCTTCAAAGAGCAAGCGGGCTGGTGTCTTTCATCTCCAGACACCACAACTGTCTCCATGCTACGGCTCACAAATTTGCTGAGGTGCCCACGGCTGCGGTTTGGGCACCGCTTCCCGCTTCGCTGCCCCATCTTCCCACCACGTGGAAGTGCTGGCGAGACAGTCTGGCTCTTGATGTTCAACTCTGCTCTGCACCCTGTCACTTCCTTCTCACTGCTGGACTCCAGGGACCACGACGAGGAGAAGTTCAGGTTGCAAACCTCAAACCCCTCTGCCTGCTTGAGCTGGCCTGCCTCGGTGTAACTAAACCCTGTTTGCTGGTGCAATGGTGTTAAGCCCTTTGCCACCCGGCAAGCTGTTACCTGACTCTGCTCGGCCAAGATCACTCCATCCTGGTCGTCACGAATGATGGGTACCTCATGGCGGATTTCACGATGCTGCGGGGGTGCCTTGCGGTAAGGCTTCTTCGATGGAGCTGTGCTGGACATCCTCCCACCTGTGTGGCTCCGAAAGCGGGTTACCTACCAACAGCAGAAAGTGCACAGAAGAGAGCGTCACGGGTGCTCCATCGAACCCTAGAAGTGACCCAGCAGACATTCGGCTCCCCTGGAGTCCCAGAGCAGGTCCCCATGCAGAGTGCTAATAGAGCAGGGAAAGGATGTGGCCACAAGCCTTGAGCAGCAGCTGCAGGAGAGGGAGCAAAGTAAGAGGTAGCTGTGTCCTTCTCCCAGCCAGTGAGAGCAGAGGGCTGGCACATCCTCTCCCCCCTCTACACACGCTCACTCACGTAGTTTGTGTGTGTCCGGATTATATATAGCAAACGAGAACAGACCTCACAGCAGCATATTGATTAGGCTCTTTAGGAAAGGCCTTTTCCAATATGGAAACTGCAAGCCTTACAGGCAGCAGTGACAGCTGGAGCAGGAGTTATTGATCATGTGCTGTCACTGTCAGCAGGGACTATGTGGGAGGAGACTCCAGCCATTAAAGAGCCCAAAGCCAGAAGTTTTTGGCTTGCACTGGAACCCCAATGGAGCAGACCACAGGAAGCTTGTCAGAAGGAGGTACCATACCATTACAACTGCTCACTCTGTCAGAAAAGACAAAGACCACCCCTAAGTCACAGGTGGCATCAAATTAGGGAGCAATGCCATTGACATTGGTACCTAAGGCCAGATTTTGCAACACGCAGCAGTAGAACTAGCAGAAAGATCAGATTAGTCCCTTTATCTGAGTCGTGCTGGGCAGGATTCTTCCAGCAGCAGGAGCAGTAGCAGTGCAAGAGCAAAAAATGTGGTAGAAGGAAAGCAGCTATCTTGTACGCATGGAAGAATCTCCTCCCTTTCCACCACTTTGGGACTGCAGTGGAGGGCAGGAAGACTCCTCCCCAAGCAGCCAGGATTTCAACCACTCCATTGTACCCAAGACAAGAAGTCTTGGAGATGCTAAGCCCTGCAGAGCCCAATACCAGACTCTCCCCAATGACAACATATGCATCGTTCACAGACCCCCTGTATTTGGGGAAAGCAGCCACTTCTCATTTGCCTTTCCCTTGCTGGATCCTAACACTGATCAAGCCTAGCATCTCTGTAAACCTCAGCACCTGACCTGCAGCACTTCGAAGTGCAGGATGTACCTCAACTCAGACCACCCTCTCCCCTCTTCTACAGGAAGGGCCATTTGACTCCCATCCACGTACCTTCAAGGCACTCAGTGGATACCACTGGGCCGTTGACCTAACAGACTTCACTTGCTTTGTGTTCTGGCCAGTGGAGTTTTTCACGTTAAGTGTCTGAATGGAGCCCCAAGAATTCTCTCCAATCCTTATCCATTCTTGCCTAGCTGCGTCTTCTTGACGCTTAGACTGAGTCCCCTAGGAGGACTGGCAAGCATGAAGCGTCTGCACCAAGCACAGAGTGGCTCCAAGCCACAACAGCCTTCACACTTTACAGGAATATTTGCAAGCTGTCCTCCACTCTGCTAAAAACACAAGGTCACAAAAGTTTCTCATGCTTTTCCACAGACGTGAACAACTTCCTAGGACTAATCTGTAAATCTCCACCATCAGAATCCTGGAAACTGCCCATTGCTGCAGTTATTCCCTCAAGGTCCCTTCTCCTAAGAAGACTCAAGGAGGTGAAGAGATCTCCAGTACTTTAGAAAAACCACATCCAGCATACTGAATGCACATTCCACTGCATCCCCAAGCAAAATAGATGGGTCTGACTTGCTGGGAAGACATTTCTCTTCTTCAAAGAGGAATGCTGAAGTCCTGACCAGAAGCAGGTTTGTCAACACACCACCGTCAAACAGGTGATCTAGGGGACTCTTCTGTCAATTCCTGCCAGGCTAAGGACAGGAGATGCGCGTGGACATATCCCAAGCTGAAACCGCAATCATTTCTCTAGCCCACAAGGATCTGAGCACTTACCAGCCTGGACTCAAGCTTGAAGCCTCATGAAGCAGGGACACTCACTCAGATGCCCTGAAGAAGAGAAACAAACAGCTTAGCATCCATCAAAACAGTCAGTTTGAAATCTCACTCCATAAATATGTAAGGAATAGGGAATATTCATAACCAAAGACAATTAGATGGTCATCTGACTCCAGGTACCTCCCTCAACTCACATCAGATCTTCTGAAAGTAAATGGAATTAGCTTAGGATAGTTGGGCCACATAGCCCAGCAAGAGCTGGAAAGGCATCTGCCAAGGCCATGTCCAAGGCACTCGGGCAACTGCGCCCACACAAACTCAAAATTCATGAAGCAATAGCTTCAAAGGAATCTTGGTTCCAGGAAGGACTAAAAACACCTCCTGTGAAATGGGACCCTCCCAGCTAATCTTCCCTGCTACTGCAGAGGGATGCTAACCATGAAGCCTTTGGTACAGAAGCTTGGTAATTCTAACAATTACCTCACTCATCCTTTTAAGTCAGTGCTTCTCGCCGACAAATGAGCTGGCAATTATCAGACTCTTGTTTGAGCCAAAACATTACGTCCTTGTGCCTACAGCTGTGACAATCCACACCTCCATGAGAGAGGAACGCAAGCTACTCTCTGACTTCCAGCAAGCAGCATGCCATGCTCTACCTTCCTGCTAACAGGCTTCTGTAAAATACTGTCCAGCCAAGCAGGGATACAACACAAGTTCACAAACAACCTTCCACTCTGTTCAAAGCCTAGGGTACCCATCGCTATAAGAAGAGTATTGGGTTGATCTGGGAGCCAGCTGTAAGAGCGTAGCTCTGTGGTCATCGCTCTGCCACTGGCATGAGAGAGATTGCATGGAGCCTTCCCCTCCCTGATGCGCTTCTGCTGCCGTGCTGCTTTTTCCCTGTCAATGGCACCAAGCCCTGGGAGGCAGGACAGGAGCGCAGGGTGTGGAGCAGTTGTACGAACATGGGGAAAGCCAGATTGAAGGTGAATTCAGGCAGGCAACCAGGACCACGCAAACTCAAGCTTTGCCAAAACAAACTGAAGAGGTGCCCTAGTGCTGGCCCTGCCCCAACAAGCTGTCTGGCCCCTTTCCTTACTACAATGCTACAGTCGGGTCTTGACTAGCACAGGAAAAAACAGCTTTGCAACAGCATAACTGCTCTGCGGGGCAAACTGTAAAGTATGGGGGCAGAAAGGGAGAGAGAGGGAGAATGTGCACCTCCAGGAAGGACCAGGCCAGCATAGTTTGAATCTGCTTTTCCACCAACTCCCAGCAGGAGCTAGTTCAGCATCAAGGCAAAACCACCAGCCACATGGGCTGGCAGAGAAGCAGAGGCTTCCAGGAACAGCTGCACCCATGGATCCACGCATGTTTCCATTGCAGAGGTGCTTGGAATGAACACGCCAAACGCCTCCCTCTCTCTCAGCACACAGTTCCTCAGGCTCAAACAGGACTGTCCTGCTTCCTACCCCAGAGCCAGCAACTATGCTACCTGCCATCTTATCCCCACCTACCTGGAAAAGATACCAGGATTTGAAACCTACTCTCATGATCTGAGAATTTCCAGAGACACTTAAATACTCACAATGCCTCCAGGCAACTTTCCCTCAAACAAGGACTTACAGATCCAAAGTGACGACGTGTCCAAACATTTCTGGCTGCTTGTCTCCAAATCAGCTTTCCCCTGTCAGCATCCAGCAGCATCTGGCCAACAGCTCCTGAAACATGAGAAAGGAAACTTGATGTCAGTCACCTATCAGCAGCACAACACATGGAAACAGCCAGGCATGCGCAGAGCAACCCACGGCCAGGTGCCAGGACAGGAGTCGGCAGCAAACTGCTGCACCATCAGGCTACAATCTAATGCTAGGACTCTCCAGTGAGATAAGCTCCCCGTCTTCACTGTGTCCCAGAAAAGGAAGGTCTTTTAACCATCTCTCCGCTGAGCAGGGTGCCTGTGCAGACCAGTAACTGATCTCCGAAAGGCAGATGTTTTTTCTAGATGGCTCCAGGGGTCACTGCTCCCCCAGCTTCATTCCTGTCCAACACCAGGAATCCAACCTCTGTCATTCTGCTCCAACCATCCTGCCACACCAACCTAATTTTGTTCAGCAGACTTCCCTTCACTGAACAGCACAATTAAGCCCTCCTTGCCTAAAATACCTGAGCATCCTTTGCTACCACAGAGAGGGAATCGCAAGGTGGCTCAATTCACCACACCTCCATTCAGAGAGGAGCACATACTCTCTGCAGAACAGACGGACCTTGTGCTCCAAAGCAGAAATGGATATAGGTAGTACCCAGAAATAGAAGGCAGCGCTAATTCTGCTCACCATGCTATTCACAAGCCTCTCTCTGAAGGAGCTTGCTGTCAAGTCAACATTCTGACTACCCCAGAGAAGCTCAGCTTTAGCCTGGAGCTACAAGGGGGTAGCTCTTCAGCTATTCTAATTAGCACTGTAATACAAGAGGAAACTTAACCTCCTGGTTCCTTTTATCTGCCCTTTCCATCCCTCATCAGTAACATTCCTTAACATTTACAGTCCCCTTCCTAGCAGTCTATTGTCTGCAGTAGCTCCAATTCTACTGTCTTCTAGCTACTACCCACTGTAGTTCCAGTCTCATTTCTAAGCTCACGGACAGTTACAGCTTCGCTGGAACGGCTCACCGAGGGCTAAAAGGCTTGGGCTCACACTGATCAGCAATAGTCACATCTTCCAGGCAGACATGAAGACACAAAGGGTCAGAAGACTGCAGCAGAAACCTAACAATTTGCTTTGTTAATGCAAAAAGGTGAGGATTCCTCCACTCCCTCACAAAGACAAAACACACACAACCTCTCTCCTCTTCACAGCGAGGGAGCGCAGTGACAGTGACTGACTGCAGCCGCACAGGCAGTATACAAGCTTGACCCTAGCTGGTTTTACCAGAGAGCATCCCTCAGTGTAAAATCTATTTGCAAAGTAGCTATGTTCTCTGTGTGACGTAAGAAAGGCAAAACCTTTACCACACACCAGGAACAGATGTGATCTAGCACAGAACTGCTTAAGA